AAAGTAGATGCTGAATAGTATGGGACAGCGTGACAGTTCTACATAGCTAAAATGCTTAGCTTAAAGCATCTCCTAATTTTTTTTTGGGGGGGTTTATCTTAGAGCAAGTAGTGCTGCAAGGTAGCTGTGCTGCATTTCTTTGTCTTATTGCTCTTCCTCTGTCTCTAGCTGGTCACATATCAGCAGTGGTGGGTGCCCAGTACCTAAGTCCCCTGCGACAGGAAACGGGACACTGAGACACATCCCAAGGATTTGCGTTTCTGAGTGAGGAACCTGTTTACCTTCATGGAGAAAATGTTTGTTGCTGCTTGGAATTGCCCCTCTGGATACAAAGGGAGATAATCCTCTTCTTTTAGGATTTTTTCTTCTTCAGCGTAGGATTTTAGAAGTGCTACCTTTAGGAAGCTCCCTTCCTAAGCTATATTTGATAAGAGGCCCTGCAGTGGCCTCTTCCTTAGGTGTGCCACAAAAATCACCCCTGCCTCCCAAAATGCTCCATCATAAGTAAATTTATTCTGTGTGTCAATTTTAGGAAAACCTACTTTTTATTTCTGACTTGAAAAATACAAATAGAAGTGTTTTGTACTGTCATAGGAGTCTTCCACTTGAGGATTTGCAGTTGACAAGACTTTCTAAAGCAGATAGTCACACCCATTTTACAAAGACTAAACTGAAGCAAGGGAAAATTCACATGTTAACATGGGAGAAATATCCACATGGAGCCAAGGCATCCAGACTCCCAATCTGTTACTTGGACTGGATTGTATCAAATATCTGGATTGTATCTATAGTCTGGTGTCAAGCTATGTACAGATACTGTATTAATAGTATCATGTTTTTGTTGAATTACTATATAAAATGATGACAATTAAGTAGATAAAGAATATGCTTAGATGATTTACATTTATGACCTTTTATATCCAGCACCAAAAAGCTCCCCAATGCAAGTATATACTAATTTTGAACTTGCTTATGCATGTGAGGAATTTCAGCAGTTTGATGTAACACAAGAAAATGAATAGACTTTTTTAAGTAAAAGAAGTGGAAAAAGAAGAGATAATCAACTCCTGGCTAAATCTTTTTGGGCCCCTTATTTAGCATTTTGGTGCTAAATAAAGTTCAGATAGTTCAAATATCCTAGCATAGAGAACCTGCATTCAGAAATCATCAGCACAGTAATGTTATGTTGCCAGTAATAACCTTCCTGTTTTCTTTTTCTTTTTCTTTTTTTTTTTTTTTACTTCTTTTTTTTTTAAGTCAAACTAAGAAAAAATCACAGTCGGCATGTGCCTCATTTGTTAAATGCCACTCCTAAATACGTGAATGTTTTGGATGCACTTCAGGCATTAAACTTGACAGGTAGTTTTGACTTTGATCTGTCTTTTACAATTTCACACCTTTTGCTTTCACTGGATATTCCTTTGCTGATACATTCATAATTACCCAGCAAAAGCTACCAGAGCAACAACAGAGTATGGTGACCAGGAAATGACATAAAGCAAGATGACAATCAGTGCAATTTTGGCCATCTTCCACTCATTTTTCATCCTCTGATACTGTTTCTGGAACTCTTTACTTCCATGTTTGCATCCAAATGTCTGAATAGACCTACGGGAAATAAACATACAACAGCAAAAAAAGGAGGTAGGAAGTTGCACAAATAGCTTCATAAAATGGGGCAACAATTACTCTTATGCTAGTTTATGCTAAAAGTCATGCACTTTTGATATGTTAATATATGTCTGTGACCAGTCCTTCACAATTCAATGCACTTTTGTTACACTAATCAATGGCAAAATTCACATGTGCTTCAGTGAAGAAAATAGTCCTGTACCAGAAGAATTTCCACATAAATCAGGTATTCAAGCCAATTGAGCAACACTATATTAAATATAGTTAGAGAAGTCTTTGCTTCCCTGGGTCCGATTTTGGTACCTTACTCTTACTCTGTACTTCTGAGCTATGTGACTACATATGCTGATATCTACAGGACAGATATCTACAGATTACAAATGTAGTGGCAGACATTGGCCTTTATTTTACAACAATAGTTTTCGTTTCAGAGACCTGTGATTAGATGTTTTACCTCTTTTTCGCCCTTTGTCAAACATGGAATTTGTAGTTTAATTCCATCTATTTTTCTGTGGGATAGTTGTTCATACACTGGTTTTAGGTGTCTCTTATGTCCCTTTAGTATTTCTTTTGGATGTTCAATATCTGTAGTCCTTCATCCTTCAGATTTCTCTTGCTGCTACTCATACCCTTTTCTGCATCATTAGACAATATACTGAACAACTCTGGCTTAAATTCAGGAATGGCCCTTCTAAGGATCATACTTCTTACCATGTTGACTATTGACAGAATTCTTGTTTAGTATCCTGTCTCAGTCATGCATACAAATTAAAAGTGAAAAACTTCCCCATTTTCTTCTGTTAGTTTTAAGAAATTAAGCAAATTTACTACAACTAGTTTTAAGAAAATAAGCAGTTTTAAGAAAATAAGCAATTAAACAGAAGGATAAAAACTTAAGACTGTTGGCTACTTACTTATTGGCATTCCATATAAAGACATAGCTGTATATGATAGCAATCAAAGGAATGAAAAAGACGAAGCAGAAAAGCAGCATCGTGTAGGCGCGGACTGATGGTGTGAAAGTCATGTAGTCCCAGGAACAGGAAGTCAGCAGACCCTCGGGGACATATGCACCTAGAAAGAAAGACAGGAGAGGGCATGAGCCATGAAGTTATTCTTATCCTGAGTGCAGAAGTTAGAAAAGGTACTCAGAATAACATGGGATTTAGTCCTATTCTCTTAGAGGGAAAAAGAGGTTAAAAGGATACACGATTCTTTGTTTAAAGCACCTCTTTTTATTTTCTTTTACTCTCTTGCCCTATTGTATTTATGTTTAGCAGTCTAAGGCTTCAGATCGGAAAACTGAATAATTTTTTTTTTCCGTTCCTGAATATTGTTTAAAGCTCAACATAGTCAGAGGACATCTCTCCAAATACTTCAGTGGGCCTTGGATTGGACCTGTATTGTTTTTAAATATCTCCATTTCCTATCAAATTGCTGTCTTCCCAATGAGAGAAATGAAACTGATTGCTATAGCTACCACTTTTTTAAGCTTGTGCAGATAAGAGAAATTTACTGTGCAAAGGAGAGAGATTTATTGTGCGGATCAAATTAATTTTGTCATGTAAAGTTGAGTACAAGTTAAAAAAAATCATACATACATAATAATCTGCCTGAAATAAAATATAATCTCCTTAAAGGAACTGTGTCAAGCTGTTAAGTAAAGAAATCATCAACACCAATGTCTTTTTACCTTTGTATTTTGATTTTCCCTGTTTACAGTGATATTTTCTGTTGAACTCTTAAAAATATTGCACCAGATGTGCTTAGATGCATCTAATTACCATATGAGAGTTGGTACTGTCATACGTGGGTACTATTAGAATCTAATTACAATAAAACAACACCCTTCCAGCAATTATTCCACCTTCTCCAATTAAGAATCTAGAATCTAAGACTATATTGTCATTTTGTTGTTCTAACAGCTCCTCATTCAATTAAAGGCTGCTTCTCCTAGTATTGCAGTTTCCCTGCTTAAACATGCTTCATGTTTATGGGGGACCAGAATGACAATAACAAGACAATAACAAAAATCTGCTGAAATTCTACTCAGGAACTGAGTTGGTTGCAGCATCCTTTGGCAAAATCAAACATTGCTATGTTCTCACCTCAGCTGAGCTGACACATTCTCTTCTGGAAGTAGGGAGCACAATAATGGGCTGGGGTTTTGAATGATGAATTCATTCTAAACTACTGACTGAAACTGGTGACTCATAGGAAACAAATTAACGGTAGTGAGGCTGATTCAAATGAGGAAGAATAACAGAAACACTCTTTGTTACAAGTTGCAAGGATCAAGATGCTGTATGTGTGTTCCAATTTGCAGGCGTAAAATTCACATTTACGAAAGCAAATTAGTTATTACTAAATGCCATCCTTATTGGAAGCCTTAGTGAATATTCCAATGAGCTGAATGGGGAATGTGACCAACACCTGGTGCAATTTGCCCTTCTAGAACACAGTCAAGACTTACTGAAGATGTACCTGCACAAAATACTCAGACTGTATTCCTCTTTTATGTGAATAAAGAAATTTAGATTAACACTAGTATCTTACACAAGAGCTTTGGGGAGGAAAAAAGTCATCAGAAAAAACACAGATATATTTGTTTCACTTTTATATTGTTGAATTTGGTTCAACGGCACTAGGTATGGGATAATAGGCAGGTGCATCCTTAATAAATTTTGGCCTTGATTTTATCTACTGTTCTTTATTCAGTAAGTAATGAGCTTAAGGAAAAGTGCCATTGTTGTATAATATGCTGTAATACACACTGGATTTTTCTTGTTTTGATTAGAGATCTTTAGTTTCAATATGTTTTAAGTTTTCTTCAAATTGATTTACTCAAGCCTAATATGCAAGCCATTAATTCAACCTTCTTCTATACCTGTAACTGGTCTTTAATCCAATACTATGAGGGGAAAAAACTTTTATTCTGTTTCACTTACTCCATCCAAAGAAGGGTGGGAGGCTCCAAGCCAAAGAGTACAGCCAGACTCCTACCAGGATTATTAGGGCCTTCTTCTTAGACGTCACTCCAACAGAAGCCAGAGGTTTTGTGATAACAAAATATCTGTCCAAGGCAATCACCATCAAAGTGGTCATAGATGTAATGCCAAAAAGAGCTCCGCAGAAGGCATACAGCTCACAGCCTTTCAATGAAGATGACAGAAGTGGCAGTGAAATTAATCTACCCATGCTAATTAATTTCTGGGAGAGTTCAAGTCTGTGTTTCTTGTGAACTAATATCTTCTGGAATTTGTAAAGCAATGGAACTTCAGTTTTCCTGCAGTTGTAATGCTATTTCAAAGCTGCTGTCTGTCTTGCTAATTACATTATCCATGGAGATAAACTTCAAAGATTTTGTTTGCTTGAATTGCTGGAGACAGTGATACTTAACATATTTTCACTCATTCATTTCTGATGTTTCTAGTGGGATCATTTCAGCAGCCCGTTAATATCTTGTTTAACTCCAGTTTTGCTGCCGCTCCTGTAGAAATAGCTGTTTTACTTAACAACAGGTTATAGCTATTTTAATATCATGGAACCATTTATATCTCAAGGTCAGCATAACTGGAGTAAATATGCAGACTATGAATATATTAATGAGTGATTTTAATTATTCAAACAACCTAACGTTTAGAAGCAGGGGTTTGGTTTTCTATTTTAACATGTATGCAATTGAACACTTCATGGAACTAAAAAAAAAATGCTTTTGGTAATCTGAGATCAAAATAGCACTATTACTTCTCTGACCTTCCTCTCTATCAATACCTGTTCAAGAGGCAAAGACTAGTCTTCCTCTTACTACAGTTACAGAGGAAGAATGAAAGCACCTTTATTCCACATTTTCTTACTGCACAGGAAATGTTCAGTTAATATCTCTGTTGTGAAAACTCACTTTTGCCAGGCTTTCTTGCCTCACTTTGCCAGGTGCAAGTCCCAGAGCAGGCTATTTAGAAGAGCTATTAAGCTGGTGCGTTGCGGGGTGGTCATAGGACTCTGCCAGTAACTAAGTTATGAGATGATTGGGGAAGAATGCTGGCAAGAAGACTAGTCCTGTGCCTTACGTTGCCAATGTTGCCTTTGTATCTCATACATGTAATTTTCCTCTCCATGGTGGGAATGTATTCATTGCACACAGACAAAAATGTTCAAAGAGCATTTGTGTCAACTTTGAAACAGTGTTGAGAAATGTTCTTAACATTGCAAGTGTACCTGAGGATAAGGAAGTAGTAGATTAACTGCCACTATGGTAAGAACATACTTAGGATTTCTTAGAAAGATAGGTATATACAAACCTTTCTCACCAAAAATCCAGCGTTTGTGGAGGCTGTTGGTGAAAAAAACTGGAGACTGCGTAATGGACATCAGGAAGTCACTAATAGCTAGATTGATGATGAATATGTTGGCTGGAGTCTGAAGGCTGCTACTCCTACAAAGATGAGAAGGAATGTTGCTAAACACTGCCGCACTGTTAATTACGTTGTTACTCTTTCCTGTGAGCCTTGGCAGCTTCACAAATACCAAGGCACACTACGTAGCAAGCTAGAGCAGAGTGCTTCTCACTTCCCTCACGAGAGAACGTGAGCAAGGCTCAGTTTTACACATTTATACTCCTGTGCACTTTAGAGGATTGTTTTGATAACCAGCTCAGTGATGGGGATAAATCATGTTGTTCTTTAAATATTCTGACCCAGTGCACTGCATGTCCATGATTAACAGGAAATTAAAGTTGACGCACTCTACGGATTTGCTGGATCTGGGTCATGTTAAGCAGGGGGAGGGGAGCACATTTTCCACTGCTGATGAGATCAACAGCGACTTCCAAATACAGGGATTAAGCAAACTCACTATGTACCACATCAAGCATTTTGTTTTACATCAACTCTTCTCTGTGACACTCATTTCACTGGCCCAGGCACTGACTTTAAAGAGAGCAATAGCCAACCTTCAGTGTATCCTGCCTGTATATGTTATTCACAGTATTACAGTACAGTATTTTAAAGAGTACATATAAAAGCTCAACTGAGAGCTCCTCAGTTTGGGGCTCAGTGTAACATTTTAGCTCCTTTCTCAAATTTTCACTCTTAGACACAATTGAAAAATACCAGAATAAATGATGGGTTCTTTGCACTGATCCAGAATCAATCACCAGGACTACTGTCCCCTATCTGTCAATTTAGGAGCAGGGAGATATTATTAGTAGATGGTTATGGGCCGCTTGTATTTTTTCAGTAGTCTGCAAAGTTTCTGTTTCAGACAGCTGGCTGTTTGCCATTACTTGAGACTGCTTTGTAGGCATCTGATGTGCTCTCCGAACTTCTGATGTACTTGTTACTTTGCTATCAGTATCCCTTTCTGTTTTCGTAATATCTTCACATGAAGATAAGCTGTGTCCTCCAGTGGAACTGCAACAGCGATGACTGGATTTCCTGCATGGGACCAGCCAAACAGCTAAGCTAGCTCATGTACTTCGTCCTCACATATCTGGTCTGCATGCCAACACCTCTTCTGGTCTTAAGGCCATGTCATTCACACTTAAGTGTTGGTATCTACTCTGAATGCACATACTGAAACCTACCATTTAATGCATCACATAAATATAGGCTTGAGACCCAGACTACTTTCGTCCAGACTCCAGTCATTTAAGTTATCACAGCCAAATTATCATATAATTGCTATTATTTTGGTTTATTACAGTAGTGCCTAAAGACCAATCATGAAGTAGAAGCTCACTGGCCTGGACATCGTGCCAATGCTCTGCCCCAGTATGACAAAACAGAAACAGGATGAGTGAACAGGAATGGTGAAAATATCACATTGTTGTCAGAGATCCAATTTCCTTCAGCTCTAAAAGTTGGCATGTGGCTTTAGTTAAAAGCAAATAAGCCAAGTGTTACAAAATGTGAAAACAAGAGATGTGGCCAGTAAGGAACAGAGGGGTAAAAGCAACTGAGTAGCAAGCAGCAGGAAAAAGGAAACATCTAAAATAGACAGGTATGAGGGAGACACAGGTGCAAAACATCCCATCGGTCCAGTGCAGACACAGTTCAGCCAGTACAAAGAAATTCACTGGAAAGTTTCTGCTTTGGCTGCTTTTCTGTTGCTTGGCATATCTGGGTGATTCTTTGCAATTTTGCTAACAATTTTGCTATGGCTCTGATTAATGGGAAGAAGTCAGAGGGAAATGGCAGGTTGCCACTTTTTTTCCTACAGCAATGTCTCTTGGTGCATTTTACTATGTCTGCATAGTAGTCTGATAGTATGCCTGTGCTGCATTTGCAGAGCACAGTCAAGGTACTGTTAAAGTTCATAAATTTGAGTATTTAAAAAAAATCCAGAAGAAAGATACCTGCAGAAAGCATAGATGACCAGGAAATTACCCAGAGTTCCTGTGATCCCCACTATAAGAATGACTATTCCAATTGTATAATGGGCATGGTCTGGGACATCCGCTGTAGGAAGGGCACCAGGAACATCTTGCACTGTCATCTTCTGTGGAGTGAACAAGAGGTCATAGGTATATTGTCAGACTTTATTGAATAAGCTGGCTTACCTCTAGAAGAGGTAATAGTCAAGAATGCAAAAAGACAGCAAGCAAAAAAAGTCAGAATAAGCTAACTGCTTTCAAATTACTCTTACTGTTGATTATCTTCAGGGGATAAATATGCCATCAGCAGTGCAAAGGTCAAAGAGGGGTTTATATGTTTGTTATTGATTTAGAATTTTGGTGAAGAAAAGCAATCTGTTCTCTCCCAAAAGAAAGATAAGGATATAGAAAAGAGAGGCAGGAAGAGACCTCTTTTATTGCATCTGGCATCAAGTAATGCAGTACTTAACAACAAGTAAGTTTTCTGTAGTTTTCATTTCAGGAAAGTTTCTGTACCTATGAACTATGACTGGCTAGACTTCTCTAAGTAGAAATGATCATCTATGGATAAACATGCGTTTATTCCTTTAGTAGTACGGCTATTTCATTTCTCCCACTGAATAACACTGAATTGCTAGCTGCCTTCAAGACTTACCAAAAGCCTGGCAGCATTGAACAAGTGTCTTCTGGAAACTAAATTAAAGATCAGAAAAACTAAAACACAAATACTTTACACCGTATGCCTGGTTTCCATACCAGTTCTGTTTTCATTCTGCACTGAATGAAAGTGTTTTGCTTTCTCTGAAGTATGTGATGAAGCACGTGATGAAAGTGTTTATGTCTTAATAAACTAATAACTCATAGCAAAATCCAGTAGCCAAGTCTGAAGACTGCAGCATTTTAAATAATAATTTAAAAACATTTTTTTATTTAAGTGTCAGGAGCCACAAACACATTTTCGGCCAAGTGACCCCAGATTAGTAATGAAGCAAACAATAAGGCTGCACCCAGGAAGCAGGATGACTGGATAGAAATTGAAGAGAAGAACAACTGTCTAAACCATCACTGTTCTGCTGCTTTTTGATATAACGTCAGGCAAGGAGACTTAAACACTCACCTCTGTGCAACTGCAACTGTCCTAAAAGTATCTTGGCATCAGCTCCAACCAGCTAATGTAGTCATGAAAAATACCAAGCCCCATTTTCATTCATCTGCATGGACAGATCCTGTCTCCATAGCCAGGCTTTTCTCATCAAGGGTGGCACTCACTCTGGAATGGCATGCCATGAGCTGCAGCCATGTGATGGAGAATCACACCAGGGTTGAGAAAAGCCCAGGAAATATTTTTGATTGTTTGTAGCCTGCCTACTATAAATACTGTCAACCTGCCTGCGGCCTAGGATGCAGGACAAGGGAATTGCCTGTACCAAGGTCTGTGCCCGTACCAAGCTTAAATAATGCTATGAGGCTGGATATGTTCTTTCCAATCATACGTACTGGCAGGTGGTGGTACAGCTGTCACATGCAGTCATTCCTTCTGAGTCATTCCATTCCTTGCTGGTAGGAAAGGAGGAAAGTGCACAGAGGTAGATGTGAAGTTCTCCCTTTTATGCTACAGTTGTGTTAGTAGTTGGCATTCACTGTTAGAGTGCGACTCAGAAATGCCTTTGACAATACCCCAGTTATCAAAGGAAATGGGTATTTTCAGACAATAGAGGCAGACGTTACTTCTGAATACATCTGTGAGATCGGGCTGAAGTTATTAGAGACAGTGTGTATTTAAAACCAATGTACCAGTAGCAAGAGGTGAACCCCAGGAGTGTCTGGAATTCTGAAAGAGATTGTCTTTGCTTGTGTGCTGAAGATCTGCCCACAGCAATCCTCAACAAGTAGAGCGTGCTCCCTGGGTTTTTACATTAGCAGCAATGAAATGCTGGACAAATACTCTGATCTTAGAGAGAGAAAATGTAGCTCTGGCTGTTATTATAATTGGAGCAAAATGTTAAGGTTGATACACTAACTGGATGACAGTATCATGACATTTATTGTTCAGGTTCCTGCAGCAAAGTGTAAGTTGGCATCACATCATCAACATCAATGGGCATCTTGCCTAGGTAGAAATCGCTATGCTTAACACAGCCAGTAAAATAACAAAAAAATCCTGTACTAATAGCAAGTGGGGAGGGAGAGTCTGACATAAAACTGTTTTAGGTAAATGAGATCGGGTATTTTTTGGTTTGGTTTTTTTTTTTTTCTCCTTAGCCTGTGGCTAGAACATTTTTTAACTGCTGTTCTACAGAGAGTTGATGATGATTATTAATAGAATGAAGATTTCTGATGTTTTTCCCTGTAGCTATCCATTTAATCAGAACTGGATCAAGGTAACAGAAATGAAGCAACTAAAGGAGCTTGTTTTGGCTACAAAGAACAGATTAAAATGGCTTTAAGTTGAATTAAATTTGTGGAGGACTAAGGACAAGGAAAAAATCAAAAAATATAAATACACAGAGAAATCACGAGAGAGGAAAGGTTATTTAAGGGACAGTAGAAGACTTTAAAATGACTTATTCAGGAATGAAACAAGTTCCGAATCAATAAAAATGTGAAGTGTGAAAAAAATAAGAGAATAATATTTATATTGGAGCAGTGATAGGACATAAATAATACTAAATATATGGGCAAAGAAAAAGTCGGTGGCAAAGAGGAGTAAATTCACATTTTAGTGTGGACTTCCTGTAGGCCTGGGATTTTTACCACAGGGTCCAACTGTGGAAAAAGTCAGTTATTAAAAAAAGTAATTTCACTGTTTTTATTGGAAATACAGATCTGATTCAAAGCTTCTTTAAGTCAAAGAAAGGTACTAGTTGACCGATAAGGCATTAGATCAGGCCTAAGCACTTCAAATTCGTCACTAAGTTGCATACATACAACTTCCTTGCTGGAAGATGAAAACATGTGCTGCATCAAATTCAGGTCTAGATCTTCTAAGGGAATTGTATGTCAAGAAACAATCAGGTCAGCAGGATAATCAAGAAATCAGACAATTCCCAAAGCTTTTCTCTATTCAGTTTCTCCAGCAGATTAGCCTTGTTTAGTCTCTGTCTTCTGTTGTCACCCCATGGTATGAGTACTTGGTTGGCAGGGGAGAGTAAAAATCCCACTGTTGCAATTCCCACTGTAGCAGTTGTTCTTTGAGAATACGCTGAACAACTATTTCAATTGCGTTGATAATACATAGCATTGTTGCCTTGCATGTTTTTCTGTTCAGCCTTCTTTCTATATAAACACCTCGTAATGAAGATAAGAAAAATGAACAGGCAAATGCAGCACTTCATTATTTCTCTTCCAAGTGATATCACAACAGTTTATTTAATGTAACATGGTTCAATACATCACCAAATGCACAAAGAAACTGAAATGGAAGCTAAGAGGTTGGACATTTTCCAGTGGATGGATAATGGACTACAGCTTTCCTGAGTCAACAAATAAAAGATGCTTGTACTTGAGGCTCTGGACCACTGGGTGCCAGTATACCCACAGGCCTACTGTGCTGTGGGTGGCTTAGATCGGTATTAATTCTGTAGGAAACAATTTATTGGGAAGCACCAAATTCCTGACAGTCAATATAAATATTGCACATTTCTCAAGCAAGCAAACAAAATGGTCATGGAAGCTGTGGAGGACATCAAGGTAGTAACTGTAATGTAACAAAATTTCTTCACAGTAAGTACTGAGGGTCAGTTGGAGAACATATCTTCTAGCCAAGGATGGCATTTTAGTCAACCTTAAAAGCAGGTTTTATAATATTGTTTGGGTGTATGTGAAAACTGGCCTTTTGCTAGAACTGTGAAAGAATTTGTGTTTTTTGTGTCTGCCTTCTTAAAATCCTCATAGTTCTCCCTAAAGGAATGCTTGTCTACTGCCTACAACAAAACACGTAACCGTGTTTTCAGTTATCATTCAGTAAACTTGACTGAGACTTACAAACTTAAGACACTTTTGGGGAGTTTAGAGAAAAGGAAATGTTTGATAGATATATATGTCTAAATCCTTGCTCTTCTGGCCTTGTCCATGGAGGCTGCAGCACAACATGGAGCCTCGTTATTCTATATTTATGGCCTGCTGCCACAGCTGGTTACAAGGGAGGCAGAGTTCTTCCTGGCGGGTCAATCTGAGGAGCCAGCCTGCTTCTTCAGGAAGAGAGCAGCGCACAATCCTTTCTGCTAAGGCTTGGTGCAAGCAGAGAAGGGGTAAAAATGAATCAGCCGCAGAGAACATCAGTGTAGGGCAGAAGTTGTATTTCACCATGAAGTTTGTCAAGACCCTGCAACTGGGCTGAAGAGCGTTGAAAGGATAAAGGAATTCCTTTGCAGTCCAGGACAAAACTATGATTCCTAGGTGATTTGCCCAGGTTAGAAGGAAGTCCAAATCTGATATAACACCCAGGAATATTTGATGCCTGCATCTATTCTGTCTTGGGAATCTGTTTATTGTACACATTTTCCTAAGGAGAAGGTTTTCTAAATAGTTATTTCATAATTGATTAAAAAAACCCCACAACCAACCAAACCAGCTCACCTCTGAATAACTTCTAGTAGAAGACATACCATTTTTGAAAGTCCAACCCTCCCCCGCCACCGTCCATAGCATGAGAAAAATATTTGTGTGTAAGTGAAAAAAGGACAACATGCAAAGAAAACAGTTCAACTATTATTGGGGAAAAAAACCCTGTTCTTTTTCAGAGTAAGAAAAAAATCATATCTCCTAATTACTGTTCCCTTGGAGACATTGATTACTGAAGCCCTACTAAAGCTAACAGTGATGATGGTAGGAGCAAGGCCATGCATGTAAATACTTGTAACGAATATAAATCATATTTTGTATAGCCCACTCCTTACATTCTCCTAATGGCAAGAGTATAAAGCAAGGTTTAGTTTATACTTACAGGGAAATCCTCATAAGGTCATTTAGGGATTTGAACAGTCCCACATTGACTTTGGCAATGTATCAGGTTTCTTTGTTCTTAATTTTCCTACAAACACAGGTAATGAAGCCGCTTATTTACACAGTATGACTTACATAACCAATGGTAGTGTTAGGCCTTTTACATTACAACAAATCATATAGCTTAGAAAAATTATCAGAACAGAAATACTGTAATTTCCTAGGGTTTCTAGGTGCAGTGTTTGTACTGCCTACCTACAAGAGGCCTCAAACTACTGCTGGCCCTTATTTTTCTTCACAGGTCCTTGCTCTGATTTCTGAGCTTGCCTCAGAAATGTAGGCACTTGCTCTGTGATGACAGGCAGCACAAAGAGGAGTGTAATCCCACCTCAATTATGGTTTCAGAAGGGTGACACCAACTGCTAAGCCTTCTTTCCAGTAGGCAGCAGGGCTTTCCATAGATGATATTTGTCCTGTTGAGCAATTTGGATAGCAGATTTTATATCCTGTCTTCTGGATTTAATCTCAACCACAAGCAGCACATATTGCTTTCAGTCCTGAAACTCTCTTAAACCAATCTTTGTGTCAAATTAAAATGCAAAAGTTTGAAAATTCAGTCACTTGACCTAGGGAGAGGAAACAGACAGCTAATTACCTCTTTCAGCAGAATAAGGAAAAAATCCATTTTTAATTTTCGGATGAATATCACACTGTCCCCAGCATCCTTTTCCATTTTGCCACGTGCTCTCCAGTTCCTCTTCTCCCTCCCTGCTATGTTCTGCTATCCTCTTTCATATGTTATCCATCTAATTTACTTTGTAAGCGCCTTGGCTCAGGACACTTCTCTCATTTTCCTGTAATACACTGCGCACATCCAGGTTTTATTAAAAAAATAAATAAACAGATTGCATTTTTACTATGCTAATAATAAAATATTTACTGGTCCTTCATTATAAAATAGGATCAAACTGAAAAACTCAATCCAACATCCTATATGCATAAAAACTTTTGGAGTGTTTGAAACTTGCACACAATTTTTAAGTGTCCACTGTATTATGCGGGCCATGCCAAATACCTGGTGTGACCACATCAAGATTTTAAGTTGAAGTTCAGATTTTAAAAACATTAAAAATTAGCTTGGGTCATTTTTTTATTCTTTACTTTTAAACAGACTTTCGTATAAACAGCAGGCGAACAAAACTTTGTAGTCCTAATAGCATACTGAGATACACAACCAGGAAGAGGACTTCTGAAGTCCTTTGGTTTGGGCTTGTGGGGTGGGATGGAGAATATTTTCACTATGCCCAAATAAATTCCATCCTGAAGTGTCATCACAACAGATTCTCACCTTCACACTTCTAAGGAAATTTTCTTTCTGTTTTGTATTTTAACAACTGAGAAAGAGCTTTGATAGAACTTACCTGGGAAAACCTTCTGAACAGCTCTCTTGGGTAACTGCAAATAACAACTCTTTAACATTTACATAAGCATTCCACTGCACTTACAGACTATTACAGAAATGACGGGGATTTCCGTCTTGAATAATAACACAAGAGAGCATTGTGTTTGAACTGCTAAACAGCTGTTTAATGCACAAGAACATGTTGTTTTGATAGTTTGCAACATATTTGGTGTACTTTGCCATTAGGCATTCCTCCCTGTCTTCTGCCCATGTGACTCTGCTGAAGAACACTGCTTCTACAGTCCTTTCTGCAGTAAATAAATAGTTAAAGGCATAAAAAGAAGATTTTTAAGTTTTCATTATGTTTTTCATTATTGCATTACAGCATTAAATGTGTACGTGCACCTTAAATGGCCATTTACAGTTCCATAAATGTCAGCTTTGCCAGCCGAACTACTTGCTACAGCTTTTAGTGACAGAAAACACTTACTGTTGGGGCTCTAAGAGGCAGGTCCATCAGTGTGTAGGCATTGGCTTCCGAGTTATTCCATGCATTGAAGGACTCCACAATTTTGGTGCCGTTGGGGTCCTCAGAGGGACAAGAGATCCCCCTTTGAATGGGCTGATTATTCAGGTGAACAAAATCTAAGCAAAAACAAAAAAAGAAAAACTCTCCTTTGAGTTTAAGTCAGCCAATTTACCTTTTGTGTGTATGTAAAGCAGATTGTCAGATTCTCTGGAATAATGTGAGATCCACAGAGTGCAGAGTTTCTCACTAGAGCTTCAGATTGCTTCACTCTATCTTCAGCTTAGCAAAGGGCAGCAGCAGCGGCTTCCATTTAAATACAGGAGACGCTAGGGTCTGCACATGCCCAGTTTGAAGCTTGTTCCATCCAGATTCCAGCTTCACTTTAATGACAGTATAAAACTGATGCTCTCTTAAAAGTGCTGTTATCTTTTTCCCTTTGACAGATTTATGTCTGAATTTTAAGGCTATATTCACATTATCCCTGTACGAAGACAAAGAAGTTAAAAGGTTGACTTCACTATCTGTCTTAAATATTAGACCTTGTTGTTCATTTTCACTGTATTGGTGAATTAGTTTTTTGTAGTCTGCTTTTAAAGAAGATGTATGTGTACAGTTCTGCTGAAATTGTCCGAACTCAAATAGATTCTGATATTTAACAATGTGCTTGTGTGCACTTCTGTCTTGTGGAATTTAGGTCATGGTTATTTGTTGGTCCACTTCTAAAAATAAACAAAAAATAGGGATAAAACTCACTGACATCATCCTTTTCTGCTCTTCAGTCAAAAAGAAAAAAAGCACAAAAATACCTTAGGCAGAGAACAGCAAATAACCACTTGTTTCAAGAGTTGTCTGCTTTCTTTTTCAGCTGTGTTTAGTTAGGGCGTATATGAGCAGATTCTTATTCACACAAATCTTCCTTTACATTGCACTGTGCAAAGAGATATGAATTGCTCTATTCCCCGTTGAAGGCTGGTTTTCACTGTGGTAAAGTGAAGTTTAATTGCAATAGAGAAGGTAAAAAAGCTGTTCTAGCAGATACTGCAGCCTGAATATCACAGAGTTTAGGCCCTCCACCCACCCAAAATGACCCTAATGCAAGCTATTAGCTTCATAGTAGTTGGTAATAAAAATAGATGGTGTGAACTGTTTCTGAAAAGCCTTTGTGAGAAGGCTGTGATAGTAACGGTGGGAACTGTCTTCCCCCAGCTCAGTACGGATTCCCCTTCTCACGTAACTTTCCTTAAATTAGGACTAGCAGTACCTAACCTTAAATTGAGGGAAGAGAGATCGCATTTCTTTGCATGAACAGGAGCTGTGCCTCTATATCAAAGGCACTCACTTATAGTGCTGCAGATTCCCTTTACTTGATAGTCATTTAAGAAAGTTAACGTTTACCTTGTGTCACCAGGCCACTGAACATTAACCAGGGAAGACACTTCCTAGACACTACAGGCTCTCAAACTTTGAGACCTTAAAAATAATTATTAGCAGACCTGTTGTGAAAGGCAGAGAGATTTCATCGAGTATCCCTGCCCTGCAGTGTTAGGTAGACACAATCAAGCCAGGTTTAAACTAGCTGTGGCAGAAGTGAGCTCGGAGGTGGCTAATCACCTGACAATTTTTAACTTCGTCAATGTCTGAGATTCTACGGTCATTTTCTAGGGTGTGCTCTTCCCCTCTTCTCTATGGGGTGTGACATCAGACACATGAATATCAGGGCAATGGTGGATGTGGCATTAATGGTACGAACTTCAAAAGACATTGATGTGACCTTCAAATCCATCACTTTATGTTCTTGCATACACAGTGCTTGCATGCAGCACACTGTAGGTATGAGGCCATGAACAATGGTGTTGGACATTTTGAGGGACAGGACTTTTTTGGAAGATAATTTTGCATTTTACTACTAAAAAGGCAGGAGATGTCATTACAGAAAACCACAATGTGAAACCGGCAAAAATTTGTACTATCTTCAAGGGAGTAGAGCGGAAAGTACATTTTAATGATTGAAGTGGAGAGAAAGGAGAGAATGGGAGATCTCCCATTTGTGTGAACTTTATGTTCAAAGAAGTTGCATACAGTTACATCCTGCTCTTATCAAACTAGTAAGACATAAAGTTTGAGACATATAATCTTCAAGGACAGGCATAAATACTAGATCAGAGGTGTTGTTTGACTCGGTATTCTAATTTTCTTTGCTCAACTCCTCTTAGTTTTCTGCTTTATGTCTTAGTTTTGCGCAATGCCAACACTCAATCTGTTTACATGCAGCTTGTACATGAAGTTTTCCTTTTCCCTGGGTCACGGATTACATTTTTCTTCCTTCTTATTTCCTCTCATCTTAATAACAAATCAATGCACTGAAAATATTTCATTTCCAGTTAGCCTGGAAGCATCCAATTCTTTGGCAGTTTTAGGGGAGCCCATAATATGGTTGGAATCAAATAATGGAATAAATGTAGTCTTTTTTTAAGTAAATCAGACATTATAGAAACTATGTGTCTTCTTGCTTCATTAGATTTGGTGGTGTTGTACGTGCCTTTCCAGATAGATTGATTTGATTAGTTCAGCAGCTGCTGAGAGTGTATTATGAGAGAATATGCAGTGTAAAGGAGAGAAAGACAGTTTCCCCAGTCAGAAATGGATGCTAGTCCAAAGAGAGCTGTTGATTTGGTATCCTTCCTTAGCCTCTGGCGCCTGCTTTTGTGAATGCTAAGCACCTGCAAACTGGGTGAAAGTATTTCTGAAAACCGGACCCTAACACTAAGATTCATGTCCAATGGAAATATTCTCATATGATTACAGTTGCCTTATCTTGTATTATAGCCAATTGCTAGAGGCAATTCAGTTGACCTATTTTATAGGTGATGCCTCAGCTTCTATGGAAGGAGAGGAGTCATGTCCTAGAACTGCACAGGGTGTGAAGTATGGGGCATCTCATTCTCTGTGCCTAGGGCTTGGGAAGTCAGACAGAGACATATAATAGCAAATCATTCACGAAACTTTTTTTCTCTCAGATTTACTTCCATTTTATATGCAGTATTAAACCAGAGAGAACAATTCCAAGTATTTTACTGAGCAATAACTGTTCTTCTTTATAGGTAAGGCTGAAAGTCATCAGAAGGCTAGACTTACGGATCTGGAGGGAAATTTGCTCTGTCTCTCCCTTGCTTATTCTCCACCAAAAGCTTAATGCTGTTGTATCCCTGGGAAGCTTAATGGAGAAAATGTATCAGCTCATGACCCCAGGTACTTTCTAAAGCCATCCGGCTCATCCTAAAGTTTTCCAACATTTCTGCCAGAGTTTTGTGTGTGAAACATGCTGGAAACCCACCTGGCTTATGGCCCAGGTCTGAATTGCCCTCCAGTCACTTCTGGAGGAAAGAAAACTTGCCCAGAATTCATATCCCTCAATTCAGTCACACTGAGGTATGGTGAGAACATCCTTCCCAGTTTTAGAGTCCTGATTTTCACCTGCATGTCTTGCTACTAATAATTAACTTCTGTTCATAGCTTTTTATAAACTACAGGCAGAAATAGCAGAAAGACCATGGACTCTGGGGCCCTTCCATGAAGCTGAGAAAATTGTCTAACAGGACAAGGGAAAGATAATGCATGGGTAAAATTTAATTAAAGTCCAAATGAGCATAGGCATTCTTTCACAATGAGTGAAAGGAAACAGTGTCCTCTTCTTTGGCTGGAAGCTCTCTGTGGAATTAGGTTTTACCTCATCTGCAGGAATACGGAGTGGACTGAAAGAACAGGTAATCTGCTGCTTAGAAAATAAAGACTGCTGTTGGGAAATGCCAGTAGAGTTAGAAGACCAGGGGTATGCTCAGCAAGGCATTAATGTTCCTGAGACATATTTACAAAAGCTCACCTGGGCTTCCTTAAACTTTACAAAAGATCACCTAGGTTTCCAAGGCCAGCATGAGGAGAGAAGAATAGACTACTCAGTAATGGGAAAGATAAACTCCCACTCTTCGCTGAGGGCAGATACAGTTCTGGTATTTGAGTTACCACAAATGAGGAGTGCACAAAGCAAGGAAGTTGGGTGATTTTTGTTACGATGGGGAGAATGATAGTGATAACCCCTGTACAACGTCTTGGAGATAACAATGCCACCCTCAAAATATGCTCTGCTTGCCTTCTAAACATGCTACTTTTTTCTGTAAGTGATGGGATAGAGGGAGGAATTACTGATTTTTCACTTGAAAGCCTATCCATTTTCAGTATCTGCCTTTCAAAAGGCAATACCACGCTATAAAATCTGAGTCCATAGCAGCCTTCCTTACACAGTCCCTCCTGTATAGAAGTTGTGAGCCCTGGGTATTCAGTGTGGTACTGCTTGTCAGTGGCTGTAACATCTGAAAACATGTTTCTCTCAGAAGCGTTTTCAGAGGCCTACGTTTGTACTGGTACCTGCAACAAACTTACCTGCTTAGATATGCAGGTGAAAACTGGTTGCTCATTTTATACAGAAGTCTGGTTTCAACCATCTGTGTTCTTTTTGCCTTTTAACAGCTAAGATCTGTCAGGTGGGAACTGTCCCACTTCCTAGCTGTTCCCAGACAGCATACTGCAATTTTGGCACCCCAAATAAAAAAGCAGGGAGAGACTTGTGTAATATATATCTTCTTTGTGCTCTATTAATCATAGAAATTAAATTTAGTTCTCCATGCCTGGAGTAACTTGGCAAGGGGACATGGAGGCAAGAACACCCTTTGTAAATAAAATTGTTAAACTGAGTACAAAGTTCTGTATTGCCTTTTGTGGGAGTACGCTGTTGGGACTACCCAAAAATCAATAGACAAAATAGAAAACAGTAAATCAAATCAACATGGTTTCTGCTCAGCTGTAGAAGTGAATAAGTCACCTCATAGGTAGTTCTAATTTTATAGGGTAGCCAAGATCTACCATGAACAGCAAAAGCACAAACCACTGGGTGCAGCCAGCAAGCATGTAACACTGTGGAGCTGTTTAGCCCCACAGCAGGAGAGTGAGAATCCCGGGGCTGGACTGAGTACAGAAGGGCCGGAGCAGAAAAGATGGTTTAGAAAAGTCCATTCAAACACAAGTTTCTTTCTAAGACTTACCAAAAAAAAAAAAAAAGCTTTTTCCACTGAGATGAAAAGAGATCAATGATCTCTTCAACAGTATGAATTTGGCTCTGTAACATGTCATTAGACTGCCACTCTATGGTAGGACACAATCCAGCAGGTGCTCTGCCTTAGTTTCCCCAGCAGTATTTCCAGCTTACTCT